TCAGTTTTCTCCACACAACATGTGGGTAATTAATTATATTAAAGAACAAAAATTGTAGACAGCATTATTTTATTTAAACTTGATTAGGTAGCAGTGGAATAGAGCTATTAATTCCGTCTAAAAAAGTTCTCTTCCAGTTCCAGCTTATCCATTCACTGTTTGCGTATACATGGATGGATATATCTATCATCTCCCTTTTCCTTTTATTTTTCTCCATAAAAGACAAGCCCAAAAGCCTCCATAAAGAATTTAAAGAGCAAGAAAAAGGGAAATAAAGATCGTCGTCACCAACAGCCTCAGTGGTGTCTATACTCTATATATATGACGCATGAATGCATACATAATATTATTCACCATAGCATCAATCCAAAATCACAAGATTCATATATAATACCGTATCTGAGGGAGCTGGCGCAATTGTTCTGTGTATCCATGTGGAGCCTCGAATAATTATTATACATACTCAAATTAAAAATTAAGAATTAGGAAGAAAAAGATTAACTATATATGACCTGGGATGTGATGATGCAGATAAACCATTGAATATTCAGTAAAATATGATTAAAAGAGCTGTCATTACTCACTCCAATCGGAAAGATGGACTTCCGTTAAATAAAAAAAAGTTTGCAAATTGAGAAGATTTGAATGAATATTCTGCCATACCGGTCCGGTTGCAGATCAGAGGAGAGTAACAAGAAAAGGAAAAGTGGGGAATGATGTTCAACTGTACTGGAACTGTATATTATGCATCAGCGACTAATTAAGTAATTAATTAATTAATTACACAAATCAGAGAAGAGAAGAAAGGAACAAGGAGAGAAAATTCAAAACTTATGAATTCCATTCTCTCTGTTCTCTCCGGCAACACTAACTAATCGGTATGGCTTGGATTCATTTCATTTCCAAGCTGGTGCAATCCCAAACACCGTTGGTTTTCAAGCCCAAGAAATCATAAGCGGCGGTAGAAGCAGGAGGAGCGGTGTTGTTGGCAGCGACGGCGTTGGCCACGTTGCAGCTGCAATCCTTGCTGTTGTGCAAACCCAAACTGCAAACGAAGCAAAGATTCTTCTGAGGTTGTTGTTGTTGTTGATGATGATGATGTTGTTGGTGGCGAGGAGGACTAATGGTTAACTCAAGGTTCAAGTCAGGGCAGCGTTCTAAGATGGACCCTATAACCACGCTTCCATTACTCGAACTTGTCTCTTGTTCTTGTTTACCGAAAGATATATTACTGGCAGTTGCAACTGTTACAACTGTTGCAGAAGAAGCTGCTGCTTCGTTGAGAGGTCTGTGAGTTGCAGGGTCGATTCCTCTGTTCAAAAGCTTCCTTCTTATGTGAGTGTTCCAATAGTTCTTTATTTCATTGTCCGTTCTCCCCGGCAATCTTCCAGCTATCAAAGACCACCTAAAACAGCACCAACAACGCCAACCAACAACGTGGTTGTTTTGTTTCGATTTAGATAAAAAGATAAGATTTTTTCTTTTTTCGTGTGATGAGAATACGAGATACGAGATGGGTTTGCTTACTTGTTCCCGAGGAGGCTGTGGAGTTTGATGATGAGTTCATCCTCTTCCTCGGTGAAGTTGCCACGCTTGAGGTCGGGACGGAGGTAGTTGATCCAGCGGAGACGGCAGCTCTTGCCGCAGCGGAGGAGGCCGGCGGCTTTGGGGAGTGACCGCCAGCAGCCCTCGCCGTGAGCTCGAATGTAAGATATGAGTCTGTCTTCTTCTTCTTTGGTCCATGCACCTTTGTTTGTGTGAGCTTTCTCACAGCAAGGCGATCTTCCCATAATTAGCTCAGAATTGAATTGTGTTGTGAAATTTCTGTTTTTTGGTCACTTTAGAGATATGATATGATATGTATATGTAATGTAAGTAAGGGTAGGAATTAAGATTGGCTTGCAGCAACAAAGAAGCCGGTTTAAGAGGGAGTTGGGGTGTGGTTTTATAGGCTTTTGACTCCAAAAGAAAGGGGACAGAACACAACAGAGAGAGAGAGAGAGAGAGAGAGAGAGAGAGAGAGAGGAGAGGACAGAGAAGGAAGACCCTAATTGGTGCTTCTAGACGCGAGTTGGTGAGACAGGTTAAGGAGAGTGGCTGTTGGCTCTTTCTCTCTCTCTTTCTCTTTCCTCTCCCTATCTGATGATATATTTATACTATATTTGCATCAATGATATAACTAGTTAAAAGACATTAACAATGGGTAACCTTCAGGTTGGTGTAAAGTAGAATGTATTAAAGTATGGGCAAGGCAGGACAAGATGTGATCTCTTACCCCTTTTTGGAAATAAAGGAAACATATTTTATTTCTCATAAACTTTACCCTTAATATAAAAGTTAAAGCCACACCAGCCAATTTATCTGTGCTAAGTAAAAAACCAGTTTCAAATTCCTTCTTCAACAACTGCTCGATGAGTTTATGTGAGGAGCAAGCTATCTCTTATTTAATCGTTTAGGTTGAGGATTAAAAAAATGTACATGTGACAGTGGAATCAAATTGAAGTTAGAGAGCCTTTTATTATTCGAAATTGACTTCATTAGGCGGATCTACCTACCTTAACGCATTTCAGTTTGATTCTTATTATTATATATTGGAATGTTACGACCTCTCATCCTTCTAAACCTTGTTCTATTTCAATAAAAAAATGTTACATGTCATGTTTTTTCTATCCAGCACATGACTGCACATCCGATGGTATGTTTCTTACATGGCAAAACATAATTCCGAAGCTCTTCACAACCATTTTATTGTGGACAGCAGCTAACACTGTCTTATAAACATAAGGGTTCGTGTGGGTTTAATTTCCCTAAAAGAATAGTTACTTGGGAAAGTTAGTTGCAACAGGCAAAAGAAAATAGTGTGGAAAAGCATAGGGATGGATGGTAATGGTAGTTGTGGTTCTTTATTGTATTGGTGCATTAGGATGCATGAGAGAGAGAGAGATGAAATAGACAAGTTTGTACTTTCTAGAAGTGTTGGAGGCTGAGTTGAATGAAAGATGTTGAAGTAAGAGAAGGGAAATGAGCGAGAGTGTGGTTGTGGTTGTGATGTGTAGGGGCTTTGGTTTACCTTCCAGTTTTGGTTTCTGTGTTGGAAAACCTTGTGTTGCAAGTATAGGAAAAGGTTGGGAATGGGAGCATGGTTGATCTTTTTGTTGTGTTCTTATTATAGTAGTTATCCATTACCATTCTTTTCTCTTTCCCTGAGAACGTCAAGTGGATGATGGCGAGGGCTAATATTCATGGGTAGAGGTTGCTTTCAAGGAGGAACAGCACGATTGTAGGGAAAAGATTCAGTCCACATGGGTGAAATTATTGGGAGTATTTTCACCCACCTTTTCATCTTTTCTGACTGTACTTGCAATTCTAGACCAAATCCTCTTCAAACTACGCCACATAACACACCGGTTCACCACTTCCTGTACCACACCCAAGTAACCAAATAAATTTTTGTACACCTAAAAACAAGCACAACTTTTAACAACTGTATTCGCCAAAACGTCTCGTATCGTATTAACTGCATTGGCTTTTAATACCAAGTCTTTGATTTTAAAGAGAATGAACAAGCCAACTAAGATGATTAGCATTTGGTAGTAGGAGATTTTATTGGGAGAGGCAACAACGCTACCCAACCCAACCCAACTAAAATTTCGTAGGGTAGCCAAAAGATGCAATGTGCGTATAAGAGTAAAGTTAGCAATAAATAATATATGATTGAAGAAAGGCGAAATAATAGACATACACATAGATGAATGAATGGAATCCATTATGAGTTGGGTTAAATTATTATTAATATTATGATTAGATATGATATGATGGGGTTGTTCTTCCCCTGGCTCTCCCCACATGGGAGGGAAAATGTGAATGTTGAAGGGAAAAGTGAGTCGTCTGATATACTACTACTACATATAGAGGAAGAGAGTGTGGCGTACGATTTGCATTTACATGATTGATGATAGCCATCACAGCACATCAACACGAGTTTGTCATGTGCTTAGGTACTCGTGGGAGGTTGTCCTAACTTCCATGAGCTCTTACCTACCTCTTTCGTTGTCCTCCACATGTGTCTTCCTCAACTTCAACCTTTTCTCATCTCTCTCTCTCTCTCTTTCTCTCTGTACAGTGGATAAGATTTTTTTAAAAAATAATTAATAAACTTCCTCGCCGAGGAGATAGATGAACTCTTATAACAGTTTTGGCAGACAAATACCGCAGATTTCGATATATCTCAGTCTCCTTTTACCGCTCTTCATTTTTATCCGATTTAAATAACACATTTTCAATTCAGCAATAGATGATGATGAGTACTGGAGATGGAGGAGGGTAGGAGGGCTCCAAATTTTATCCTATCAAACACGTTTGCTTGTCTTTCTTCAGCCAAGAAACAGAAATGCACCTCCGCTCCTCCATTGTTAGTACAGTTAACGCACCGTATTCTACTATACCTGGATTGTATTCAACACTTGCCACAACTTTTTTTTTTTTTAATTATTCTTAGCGTAACTAGATTCCTCCTTGTACAAATTAACTAAATATTGAATCTAACTGAGCTTGATGTATTTATATTTTATAAAAAAAAAATCACATTGATAGTATTTATGACATAGTTTTGACATTTACTATTAATTACAAAGTTAAAAGATACAAATACATTTCAATAAATTATGTTTGATTGTGTATATTCAATTTTATAGCAATTATGTACTAATAATTTTATTTTATTTTATTGAATATATTTAAATCCTTTTATATCTGGTTATGACTAAACCAGTATTCTCTAGTCTACTGCAGACTAACTTAATGCATGATTTTCATAAATCTCAGCTAGCGCAGTACCAGTTTTCGTAATTCTGATTTCCTGGCACGAAACATGCATGACAAATTAGCCTTTCTGATTTGAGCAAATGAGCATGTCTACCCTCCTCTAACCTTTCAGTGAATAACACGTAACTGGGAATGCTAAATTTTTTGTATTTACGTATTATGACGTTGCGCTTAAATTGAGTATTCAGGATATTTTTAGTCTATTCATATAAAAGTCAGAGTGGCTGTGGCATTATTCTTTATTGGTGCCAAGTAAACAGAAACTGAAGCTGCAAAAATGAACCCTATTTTGCACATAATGGGTCGGGGTCAACCAAATGTAACATCCAAGAGAGATGAACAGGTCCCGGTCTACTTCCCCCTTTTGCGAACTTCATACAAGTAACTGAGGATCACCACCGCCGCAGTAACTACAACTCCTACAGCACCTTGTGCCAGTACGGTCCCATCCTTAATAGAAATCGCCTTTGAACTTGGCACAAAGCCTAGCTCTGAAAGTTTCTTATGCGATTCAGCATAATCCCTGAAAAATGCATCCTCGTCCTGCCCGAGTGACAGTTTAAAAATATAAGACAACGGACAGATTCAAGCAATTCAATGATACACTAACAGCAATCACAACTTTGCTTCAAATAGCTATGCTCTTAATTTTCTTTAATAGAGCAAAACATAAACTTCTCCTAAATGTCTAAAGTTAATCTAAAACTCTACATAAGCGCTAAGAGCAGGGACACCAATTAGAATAGTCTGTGAACGTGTAACGAAAAAAATCACAATTCAAATAGAATACCACTCTTTCACAATAGTATTACTAGACCATCACTTTTAAACGGGAAGCAGAATTGTTGATGCTCATCATTAGACAGTTTTAGTATAATTATTGGTTATTTATAGTGCGAGTTATAATTTCTTTACTTTATGATTTAATCATATTTATGGACTGTAAAGGAAGTCATACATGAAATATAGTAAACTCCTTAACCTTTTCGAAATCCTTTTTCTCTCTTATTTGTCCTCTCATGCACCGTGCTCTTATTTGAAAGCACATAGAGTTGCACAACCTTCAAATTTCAATCCCATTCCCTACTTATTTTTCCTTGGGTGAGACTGTGCGTTTGTAACAGAAATAGAATGAGGGACCTATGATTTAAGAATGATCGCTATCTTCTTTTTCCTTATTCTAATTCAACCATTGATTTATTATAATCTCTGAGTGTCTAGCATGATTTAATCACATTTTGACACCTATATGACCTAAATTATTCAAAGGTTTTAAGGAAATTACCGTGTCCGTGAATATTGTACCAAAGCCACGGACCATGGGAAAACATTATAATATTTTTTTATAATAACTGCAAAATATTTCAATTAAATAAGTACTATAGTTAAGTGGGTGCAATGCAATTCACTAGACAATTAAATTATAATTGTAATTCTCTTATAATTTATGTAAGCATGGAAACTTGAGAGTTATGTTTATGTAAAATTGTTCTACGGTTGGACACCCAATAATCTAAGTCTAGCGATATCCCAGGCTAACAGGCATGTTATATAGTCTAATGTAAAAATTAGTTTCATCAGTGTAAAAAGAAAAAAAATAACGGACAAGGTATGGTCAATAGCCGGAAAAGTAAGCAGTTTTATTTATACCTGACCAACCAATGGATAAAAGGTCGATGTCACATTAAATAAGTTAATTTGTTGGTTTAGCCACCAACCTAACAACGGGAAATATACCATCTTAACTTATGAAGTGCCAAGATAGCGTAGTAAACTCCAAAGCACAACGCTTGTTATGGGTAAGAAGGGTCCGACTAATCAATCACTACTTAATGAACTCAGGCCAAGAGATTTTATTATGGACAACGGTGCCAATGTCGCAATGAGAATAGAACCTACTACCTTACGAATACAACACAAATCGCTCACCACTAGACCAACCCTAGAGGTAAATCAGGACAAAGATTGACCTAATAATTAATGCAATAAGCTTACAAGCTTAATGGTGCTTATACTAGACAAACAGACCGATGAAACACGACTGAGAAACATTAATTGGTAATTTGGACACGGCACAAACAGATATCCAATGGTAGTTATTTAAATTAATCTCAATTACCTTCGCATATAGTTCAACGTAACGGCGAAATTCAGGGTCCTCCAACAAAGCCTTGTCTGTTGGAAGTTTGAGCAGCCCAATATACTCGCCTTTCAAAAGTTCCCTGTTTAACGGTGATATTCAGTTGTAGACAAAAATCAAACTCTTTATGTATTGCAAAGCACTAGTGAAGCTCTATAAAATGTTTTTCTAGAACAGATAAAGCTAATAGTATTATTGCACACAACACGAGTCTTACACAAAGTACGAGTTATCAAACTTCAGAGGGTCCTCCGTCCAAGGTCCATCAAACCCTGATCTCTCTGGATGTGCTCTCCCCTTATAAGACCACAGAAATTAAGGTAAGTATATCTATCCATAATCACAGCAAGTAATATAAGAGATATTACACAAGGAGAATTACCAGCGTATGCCCTCCAGACAGTGCAACGATATCTCGATCAGTCAAGCCCATTCGATAGAAGATATCACGGAGATGTGAAACACCTACAAATAGCATTGACAAATTCTTATGCTTTCATTAAAATTCTTAACCTAGTCCATTGTGAAGGGAATAGAAAATATATAACATATTTCACCGTCCAGGAAAAGGGAACATTTCTACTACTGACAAAATTTAAAAACACACCTTGTTTAGCATCAGGAAGCCGCCCTTCTTTAGGGGATACTTTTGAATCCTGCAAGAATAGAAGATAACATCAATTAAACAAGATTCCATTATTTCATAACAAGAAATATTCCAATTTTGTATGGCACAACCAACCTTTCTACCAGGGACAAAATCAATTGTGGGACCCCCCGTAACCTCAACTGCAACAACACCAGCAAGCTGGAAAGCACGTGGAGAAAGAAATTATTTTAGAGCAGATTGTATAATCTAATCTATAAGGAAGTTAATTTATTTCTCTACTTAAGAATGTGAGTCTTATTTTATATAACGTAAGCCCCATGAGTGATAATCTCCCCCCTCTCTGTTTCAACAGAATCTAAATTCATGCACTCATCGGATTTAATGGACTGGTGCGTCATATACACAAACATCCAGTAAACGCTTGATTCTGACATAAAATATTTCAGAAACGTTAAGGGAAACTTTTATTTTCAGAATATGAAATTGCTCACATTTGCTAACCTTAACATTAGTACAAAAATGCATAAGAAAATCCAGTCAAATGGTGTTCAATTTCGTTGCAGAAATCTTAAGCACTAACGTTAATTGTATGCATGTCAAAACTAGCTACAAAAGAATTGAACCACAAGGAGGGAAATGATTAAACTATTAAAACTTGAAACGCATTGCATTAACGAACAGAGGAGCTCCACCTTTAATTGTACTCCTGTAAGCTTTTTAACTGGCAACATCTAGGTGTAGTATAGCTCTTTATCAAAAATTGACATAGCTACCCATAATTATTGTATTAAGGATTTCCCCCCCTCTTTTGACAGGGAAACATTTTATATGTAGCATTAAACAGGCCGTAAATGCCTTTAAAATAATACCTTCCGTTCACCAATTTGCCAACATCCTAAAATCCCCCCACCCTTCAAAATTTCCTAAATCTACTAAGTAAAGAAAGAGAAAGAATGAAGAAAATTTTGTTTGAGGACTTTGATTGCACTTACGTTGCAGATCCTTTGGTGATTTTCAAACATATCAAAAAGGTATGATAGTCACAACCACTAATCACAATATCACAGCCGCATAAAGGGTTGTAAAGTTAAACCATAAGTAGTCAGGGATGTAACACATTATGACAGCATGAGCCTTAAGTGTAAAAGGGCACTGCATCACTGGACTAGATAGGTCTGTAACTTTACTATTCATCCATCGACCTCGTACTGAAATTCAATATCAAGCAACAAAAATGAAACATGAGTCATAAACTACACCACCTGGCACTACGGAAAAGCCAATGCCTAGCCAGCATCCACGAGATTTGCATAAAAAACAGCGTACGAAAAGAGTAAATTGAATCAAAAGTTGCAGAAATTGAACCCTGAATCAATTACCATATACATCTCACACAACTTTGGAAGTTCATTTACCACATTCTACAATTATCGCAAAACAATTCAGTACCAAATTATCAGATTCACTACAGACTTTCATAATAAACAACTGAATGAAAACAGAATGATCACCTGGTAAAGATCTGCGTACGTAATCTTAGGATGTTTTTCCTTCACTTCCTCTGTGACATCAGAAAATAAGCCAACTCTTAGAAAAATAAGGGGACCGGCATAATTACAACCAGCATACTATTTCGGTAAAAAATATCCTAAGCAAGTTCGATTGGAATAGGTTCGAATCTCGATTCAACACAACGCAGGACCACGCCAATATACAAATAAAATTCAAGCCTATATATCTTATTATAAATTCAATACTCAAATAGCACAAGGCGCAAATAAAAGCGAGCGAGACAAGAAAAAGCATACCGCAGAAATCAATAGCCTTTTTCAAGCCATTGTTGGAACCGTGAGAAAACTCTTCCTCGTTCCGGATAGAACCGTTAGGTCCACCGGTCTTGGTTTTGGCATCGTAAGTGCCGGCATCGTGCCAGCTGCATCAGATTAAGCAATTTCAAGCACGGAAAAACGAAATATAATTGCACGATGGCGGCGTTGACCGCGTAAGAAGCGAAAACTAGAAACCTAAGTATCAGCATCAAACTGTTTAGCTGGAAAAAATAAAAGAAATAGAGAAGGAAAACATACGCTAGGCGAAGCATGAGAGGAGCGCAGTTCCTGTTAGCGATTAGTGCACGGAGATCGCGGCGAGCCTTGTCGACCTCCTTGAGGTACTCTGAGTCGACCACCACCGGCAACGCCATACTCAGGGGATAACGGAATCTGTTTGGACACTCAAAAAGGAGAAACCAAACAAGAAAGAAGTAAAACTCACTGCACTGCTAACTGCTAACTGAGAATGTATTGAATGAATGAGTGAATGGATAATTGTGTTGTATGTATGGGTGGTGCTCCCATTACCATGGCATATTCCCATGCCTTCCCACTTCGCTATTGCCACGTCACGTTTTTTAATTGGCTCACTTAGCTTCACCACAATTCATAATCAATCAGCTAAAAACAAATCAAAATTAGGAAGGAATAAAAACCCATTCACATTTTGTTTTATTTCTAAACAAACTATATATTATTTTTATTAAATAATTTGATTTTTTTTAATTTTTTTAACAATTTTTTCATGCATTAGTAAAAAGGTACTGTAAATATATGGCCGTGTTTCTTATGCAAGGCCATTAATTTCCAAATTGTTTCGGACAAGAGAGATAGTGCACGATCTTATTACCATGTCAATATTTTACGTATTCAAACAAACAATCTTGGAAAAAAAATTACATTTGTTTGTGATTTTCGTTTAAAACTTTACATCAATAAAACAATAAAACGTAATAAAAAACGTTGTTTTGATGACAGTTTCTCTTACAGTTTTCTAATTTTAAAATGTTTAAATATATTTTAACCTTTGTAAGATAAAATTTTTATTTTTGTGAACAAACCATTATTTTTTAAGAACTATAATAATTGTTTACAGTTCTTATAAAATGAATGAATATTAAATTTAAGTTATGCATTTTTTTTATTTTCATCTCACCAAAATTACTAATTTGAGCCCATTTTATTTATTTTGAAATAAATAAATGAAATTTCTTTGGAAGATTATATTTTTTAAAATAAGTTAAATATTGATATTGTATTAAAAAATCTAAATTGTCACGTGATATTTCATTCATCATATATATACGAGTATTATTACGATACAAAATATTCATTTTTGTATTTTATAGAAAAATAAGAAGAGTTTGTTCTCATAAAAGATCAAAATTTTGATAATTTTACATAATCCATGTAATCCCCATGTAATTTGCAAAACTAAAGCTTAGAGTTTAATGCTATGGATATATAATTCCCATGCAATTTGCTTTTAGACCAATATTTATATAAAAAAATGGGGTTTGTTAACGCGCGTACGCCTGTTTTTCAGTTGGTTCATTTTAGCAATGTGTCGGGTTTTAGTAGACAAAAATATCCTTATATATAATGGATTCTAAGTTTTAAGGTTAAGGGTATTTTAATAATTTTCATTCTCAAAACTAAAAAAAAAAAAAAAAAGAAACCCCCAAAACCCTTACTCACCTCTCTCATTCCTCTCAACCCTTTCTCTTTCATCTTTCTCACTCCAATCTTTTCTCTATCATCCTTACTGTAGCCCCAATTGAAAAAATAAAAAACACTTGTCGTTAAACAATCTTACAGAAAAATGATTTTATAATGAGTTTTCATCTTATAATTTTTGTCTTATCTAATTTTATCCCATTTTCACAACCATAAAGGAATTGGTAATTGACCTGGAAAAAATCAGAAATACTCGCGGTTAAACAATTTCTTACAAAAAATGATTTTATATTGAGTTTTTATTTTATAATTTTTGTCTTTATCTAATTTTATCTAATTTTCACAAGCATAATGACATCAAAGGAATTGGTAATTGGTCTGGAAAAAATTAGAAACACTCGTTCTTAAACAATTTCTTACAAAAAATGACTTTATAATGAGTTTTCATTTTATAATTTTTGTCGTATATAATTTTATCTAATTTTCACAAGCATAATGACATCCAAAAGAATTGATAATTGGCCTGGAGGGTCTTTTTAGAGATGTTGATTCAACATATGCAGATGATGAAATTAGAGAGGTTAGTGAAGATGGTGAAATTGAAGAGATCTTGAATGAACCTTTGCGTGAAGGTGAATATGTCAAATGACTCAACTCTTTACAAAGGCAAATTGTTTAAAGGCTAAGTGTTTCTGATTTTTTCAATTGGAGTTATAGTAGGAATAACAGAGAAAAGGTTGGAGTGAGAGAGATGAAAGAGAAAAGATTGAGAGGAATGAGAGAGGTGAGTAAGAGTTTGGGTGGTTTCTTTTTTTCTTTTTTAAGTTTTGAGAATGAAAATTATTAAAATACCCTTAACCTTAAAACTTAGAATCCATGCGTTAGCAAACCCCTAAAAAAATAGAATTAATTATATATATTTTTTCTTTTGTTATAACCATTGTATTTCAATTTTGAATAACTTTTTGAATGAATCTGATCTAAAATTTTGACTATTAAAGTTAAGTTGTTTCATCGATTTGGTAAAGGAATTTTAAACAAACTTTTTTATAAACACTTTAAAAAAAAGTAAAATAACTTTTGTATGTTAAAATTACTTTTTTTTTAAAAAAAAAACTTTGATGAATGGCCGTTTACGACTACGCAAATTTCGTGAGTCAAAAGTACCGGATATCATCAATATTGGATCTGGGCTAGTCGATTAATATGGAGAAAACGAGAAAAAAAAAAAGCAGGGGCTAGCCGACATTATTGTTCAAGCTGAAAATGGGATAAGCATCATATAGGTACTCCGATCAAATAATGTAAACGTATATTATACTCCAAACCAAATCATATTTATGCTTTTGCTATTTCAAACCTTTTTCACAAACATGTACATGATTGACAAATAAAACCAATATATCTCGCAAGACAAATTTAAAAGAAGGAAAGGATGGTGGGATAAGGAATCAGAAATACAAATTTGATGGAGAATTTAGTCATCCTGCTTGTGAGGTTCTCCACTGCAACTCTACCTGGAGGCGACCATTCTTGGAGTCTATGAGATGGTACCTCTCATTAATTCTTTTGTTGGCAACAACATCCCCAAGATTGATGTCGATATAACCCAGTGATTCCTGATGCCAAAAGAAGCAGCGGATAATAAAACTCGGCCATGTCAAGAACATGAGTGGTAAAAACAAATCATTGGGCTTAATTTCAGCGCAAAGTAGTGTTGTTTTAAGAACATATTTATGCAATCCATCACTGGTGATTGGAAAAAAAATCAAGTTGAAGAGTTGGTGAGCATCTAAATATGCATTTTAGCTATGAAGGCCAAAAACTAATGAAGTCATAGCAAAAATGGTCATGACAAAAACCTAATTCATGCGCATATAGTTTACCGCAGAACATAGAAAAGATCCTCTCTACCTTCCTATCTCCCAAAAATTAAAAACTATGAACTACTGAAGACAATTTCGCACGCATTCAATTCTACAGACATGAATACGGTCATTCCCCCAACGTACATTTTGACTAAGTTATATAAACCTCCCTCGAACTTCAGAGACATGTGATTTACTTTCTTTTCTTCCAATTAAACCAAGCAACATCATAAATATGTAAACTCATAAAGCTTCCATTAGAATAGATAACTGTGAGCATGTCACGGTAAAATGATTTCATTGGAAGGAAGCAGATGCAGGTAGATTAAACATGACATCACCCAAAGCTAAAGGCACTTGTGTATCCTACACTTTTTTATATTTGGATTTGAAATCATTAAACGTGTGTAGATTTCCCGAGTACTTCAAATTCTTTCAACAATTTGAAGCTTCCTAGTNGACATCAAAGGAATTGGTAATTGGTCTGGAAAAAATTAGAAACACTCGTTCTTAAACAATTTCTTACAAAAAATGACTTTATAATGAGTTTTCATTTTATAATTTTTGTCGTATATAATTTTATCTAATTTTCACAAGCATAATGACATCCAAAAGAATTGATAATTGGCCTGGAGGGTCTTTTTAGAGATGTTGATTCAACATATGCAGATGATGAAATTAGAGAGGTTAGTGAAGATGGTGAAATTGAAGAGATCTTGAATGAACCTTTGCGTGAAGGTGAATATGTCAAATGACTCAACTCTTTACAAAGGCAAATTGTTTAAAGGCTAAGTGTTTCTGATTTTTTCAATTGGAGTTATAGTAGGAATAACAGAGAAAAGGTTGGAGTGAGAGAGATGAAAGAGAAAAGATTGAGAGGAATGAGAGAGGTGAGTAAGAGTTTGGGTGGTTTCTTTTTTTCTTTTTTAAGTTTTGAGAATGAAAATTATTAAAATACCCTTAACCTTAAAACTTAGAATCCATGCGTTAGCAAACCCCTAAAAAAATAGAATTAATTATATATATTTTTTCTTTTGTTATAACCATTGTATTTCAATTTTGAATAACTTTTTGAATGAATCTGATCTAAAATTTTGACTATTAAAGTTAAGTTGTTTCATCGATTTGGTAAAGGAATTTTAAACAAACTTTTTTATAAACACTTTAAAAAAAAGTAAAATAACTTTTGTATGTTAAAATTACTTTTTTTTTAAAAAAAAAACTTTGATGAATGGCCGTTTACGACTACGCAAATTTCGTGAGTCAAAAGTACCGGATATCATCAATATTGGATCTGGGCTAGTCGATTAATATGGAGAAAACGAGAAAAAAAAAAAGCAGGGGCTAGCCGACATTATTGTTCAAGCTGAAAATGGGATAAGCATCATATAGGTACTCCGATCAAATAATGTAAACGTATATTATACTCCAAACCAAATCATATTTATGCTTTTGCTATTTCAAACCTTTTTCACAAACATGTACATGATTGACAAATAAAACCAATATATCTCGCAAGACAAATTTAAAAGAAGGAAAGGATGGTGGGATAAGGAATCAGAAATACAAATTTGATGGAGAATTTAGTCATCCTGCTTGTGAGGTTCTCCACTGCAACTCTACCTGGAGGCGACCATTCTTGGAGTCTATGAGATGGTACCTCTCATTAATTCTTTTGTTGGCAACAACATCCCCAAGATTGATGTCGATATAACCCAGTGATTCCTGATGCCAAAAGAAGCAGCGGATAATAAAACTCGGCCATGTCAAGAACATGAGTGGTAAAAACAAATCATTGGGCTTAATTTCAGCGCAAAGTAGTGTTGTTTTAAGAACATATTTATGCAATCCATCACTGGTGATTGGAAAAAAAATCAAGTTGAAGAGTTGGTGAGCATCTAAATATGCATTTTAGCTATGAAGGCCAAAAACTAATGAAGTCATAGCAAAAATGGTC